ATTTTTAGAGGCTTCTAGAAGAGACTAATACTTATTGGCTTAAACAATAAGTAGTGCTTTAATGAAGTCTAAGAAATGTCAAAATTTTTTTAGAATGTTCAATTTTAAGGGTACATAAATTCAATTATTAATAAATTACTTGAAATTCATTACAAAATACATATTTTTCTTTATTTTAAAAGTTTATATTTCAATCAAACTAAATATAACTGTATAGAATTAGAAATTTGTTTAAATAATTTAGTAAGATAATGTTATCTTATCTGATGAATTAATGTAAGAACTAAAATAATGATTTTTTAGCTTATATGAGAATATTTTACGTAATATTCAACAATACATTTCTGTGATATTATAAAACCTTATTCATGCAGTGGATTTTTTTACTTCGTATTACTTTATTGATTTAAATTATTGTGCAATTGGAACCCATTATGCAAAATTAAGAAATCGACGATCATTCTGAATACTATTAATATTTTATGAACATAGTAATTTATAAAGTCAAAATACAATTAAAAAAAATGAGAATAATAAATATAAAATATTAAAAAATTACGATAAGAGCTTCGTGATTTATTGAATTATATATTTAGTACACTAATAAGGCAAGTCTTCGCTTACATACAACATACACTGTACAATCTTTTAATACAATTACAGACGCGAAACTTGTACTAAATAATACGAGTAAACCTTACATTTTGTGTCAGATTACTTCTGTTCGAAAATTCATTACGGGTTTAATGAAATAATGATTCACGTTAGTTTAGAGATTCCTATTCATTTCATTCTAACGACGTTTCACGAGCTTGTTTTTCCCACACGTATGTACTAATTTTACCCTTGGTCATAAAATAATCGGGCGAGTCAAGCTTCAAAGAAAAAAAGCAAAAGTCGACACACCTTAATGTTCTGTAAACTTATACCTTCTGTAATATGCCTTTCCATCCTTTACTTTCTAGCATCTCCCTCTATTGGTGAAGGGAAATCTATCGAGGGTAGCTGAAGAAATTTCCAACGTTAGAGAATATAATAAATGCTTATTCTTTTATATTAAGTATCAACTGTGCTTTTTTGGTATTTCAACTTTACTTGCATTTTTTTCTGGAATTTGTATCGAACAAACATCTTCTTTTATCATTATTTATTTATACATGAATATAGTTTTGCAAAAATTTAGCAATCAAATTTGATGCAATAATGACGAAATACAGTGACGAATAGTAAAATTAAGTATTAATTAAAAATTAATTTTCTTGTAGAAAATATTTTCTGAGAATCGTTAAATTTGAAATTCACAATAAGATTGCTAAAACGGAAGCATTAAATTAATCAGAGTAATAACAAAACGGAATATGAAGTAAAATAGAAGCTTTTAAACAATAGTAGTAATGACAGGACGCGATCAAAATAAATAATAGTAGTATATATTTCAATCTAGGAGCAAAATTGTCAATACCGTTTTCTAGAAGCTACTGGATTCCGACCCTCGTCTGGCACATCGATAGTTTGATCCCCTCTTTTATTTCTTCCCCTTTTATGAATGATGGGAGGCAGAGAACACGTAGTGCTAAATCTTGCCACTTCTTAGTACAAGTTTTGATGCTTCAATATATACATTCATACGGAGAGGAAGGAAATGTGTTCCGTAATGTCGCGTTGCGGTCTTTCATTGCTACGTCCGCGTAGATATAGCTAGGTTATGTACAAAGATATAAATTAGCGACAAAGGCGTTAAGCAACGATAATTGACAGAGATATGGGGCTATTTTGTTCCCTATTTAAAAAAGTCAGCAAGGTCAGTTTGTTTTATGTCTCAAGCTCATTCACATGGAAAAAATCTGTATATTCAATTTACTTAGATCTAGATAAATTTAACTTGCGCAGAATAACTGGAATTTAGTTTTACGTTTTGAAAGCTAACGGATGTATTAATTGTTTCACGGAAATACTTAAATAAGATTTTAACTGAATCTGACTTAATATTGTTCATAAGGATTAGACATATTGGTTGCCAATTCATGAAAATAGTAGCGCACAAATATTAAATATCCAAAGTTAGCCAATTTTGCCTCATTATTTCTTAAATAATTTCGTATTAAATAATATCTTAAATAATTACCTACTCGTAAAATATTTCTTTATAATATTTATTTTATTCGTATCTTTTATGAATAGTTTAATGTAATATGTGCATAAGAAATATGTACTTAATAATAATTTCAGTCAATTTAATAAAAAGTTTTCGTAATGGAAAGCTAGGTATAATCCACACCTGGAATTTTTAAACTTATATGAAAAATGATACAAGGTCGTTAATTTCACAACATTTGTAAATAATTTGGCGTTTCAGAAGAAAAAACAAAATACGAAATATAACTGTTCGTAAACCAAAACTGCTTTTTTCGTAAAGCAATATTTCCTTGATGCGATATTCTGCGTTATTGATAAGTAAATAAATTACAAATCAATGCTTTTAAAAACTAACGCCGTTTTTTATGATTAAATTAGCCATTGACGGCATTCAAATTTTACCTGAAAGGTTGAAAGGTAGCTATAGAATTAAAAGAAATCCATCATTTATAAACACGTAAAAACTGACTATATATTTAACTCTTATGCATATTTTTACCTTATTTGTATAAGATTCATCGACGCAAGACCATTGACATATAAATTAATACCGAATTGTGTAAGTTTGAGATATATGTTTCTAATAACATTGTTCTTTCATAAAAATGTAAATACAATGCTTTTTATGAAATCGCTGAATCCCGCTATATCTTTACTTATTTATGAATATAAAAATAATACTTTAAAAATTAAAAACACGTTGTTATCCTTTGTGATTGCTTAAATAAAAGAAATTTATAAACTTTAGAAAGTGATGTTCATGTATTAAGCCAATCTTGACATAGTTTCAAAAGAGTCGGTATACTGTCAAATTGTGAACATTACATCAATTACATCTATCAGAGAATATTTCTTTGAAGGTTAGAATAAGATTAAAGAATCAATTAAATTTTTTCGAAAATAATGGTGAAATATTGCATTGCAATAAAAACTTTAGAAGATGCAATAGAAAGTATGTGCACAATCAAATAGAAGTGCGGCTATATGTCGTAGATAAAGATAGTTGTAGCATAGGTGTGAGGGAATTTTTACTTTTTACGTATTTTCATGTATAATTACGACACAATTCGGTGATGTGTACACCGGTAACAGGCGCGTCTCATTGCATCCTGTCATTAGTGTTAAAATAAAAAAAAAGCACCTTATTCGACTCTATGGTGTGGTGTTTTGTACAGTGACTGTTCAATACAACCTCGTCATCTTTTATACTTTATTTTTATCGCATCATTATTTTATATTAGTATTATAACTTATGTACATATCTAGTATCGCAAAAACTATAGAAAGATATATTGATTGATTAGATTCTCAATTACTTTGTAATATTTGGCCAAAAAACTGATTTATCCGAATATTTGTCGAAGCAAATATTTACCAAATGTCGTCATTTTGTACTCACAAGTATTTGTAAATTACATTTTTTAAATTGTACTTAATACATTTATTTCTGAGTTTTATTATGAACGATTAATTTTAATCGTCATATAAAAGTAATATAAAAATTTTTCAGTCAATTGGCATTCGAGAAAAAGACTGAAAATTATGGTCAGCTATAATTTTATGTATTTATAAAAGCAATTTATATAAATATAGAAGAAAAGAAAAAATTGCTTGACGAATATTTATGTAATGTTGTTGCTTGTACCTAAAAGGAAAACAAATTTCATAATAAATAAAATCAGAATATTTTGAAATAATTGCGCATCCTTCATTGAGCAATCAAAGACATATAAATCTACGGAGAAAAAAAAATTGCCATTGAAAGACCTTTTATCAACAAGAATTGAGAAATTGATATTCAATTAATTGGTGGCGAAATATCAAAAGCCAGAGGCGATAAATTTAATAATACAAATAGCAGTTGGCTTGCTAATAAAGTGAAAACACAGGTTGCGGAAAGTTCTGGAGGGCAGCCATCGTGAATTCGGCCTAGCCATGAGACGCTCCAAACGTATAACAAAAGACTGGATATATGCGTTGGTTTGATTATTAAAATAACAGGAGACGGAATTTTCGATCGATAATAATGGCTCGCGCGCTTTCAAGTGCCAGAGGCACTCGAGCGCGTAACTCCGGTTGTCGTGTTAACCGTGCCACAAGCATTGAGAAAGTCCCATGAAGCACGAAGTCGTCGTCGTCGGCTATCTTCCTCAACCTTTCATCCAAACAATCGTGACCCATTCAGCCCAATCGCGCGTGCATGTATCATTCAACGACGGCTCGCAACTAGAAGATTACCGCTTCGCAATTCCGGCCACGCACATACACGTACGAGCTGCTCGGACCGAGTTCCCAAGGGACATAAGGGAGGAGACGGAGGAATAGAACAGCCGGAATGAGTGTCAACAATCGCGCGTAATGATAAAAGAGGACGACTCCCCCTCGAACTTTCGCCAGCCTGAGGCTCGAGCTGCTTGAAGTCCGTTATGTTCCTCTACTCCACCAGCTGTCGATTGATTTGTTAAAAAAGAAAAAAAAAATCTACGCATTTAATCATTTTTTGTGTATTTCATTGTTTATTGGTGCAATTCTTATATTAATATAGACAAGCTTCGTGCTCTGCCGCTTTAAAAAGATTCCAAATTTCATTTACATTAAATTAGGATTTTATGAGACAAACTTTGCTATCTATGCATCGAGACGTGAATCCAGAAGCAGAAGTTTTTTGCTCTGATTAAATAAATGTATTGTATTTTGTATTTATTTAATGTATTCAAGTCATTAATTTTTTCAAAACATCGTTTATCGTGTACGATCTTCAAATTATAATTCATTATGTTATTATTATTATTGTTACAATTTTAGTTATAATAAATAATAGTTAACTTATTTTGACAGTGCATAAGTGATCCTAATGAGTTGAAATAATTGTTTGTGCAGCCATTCGATCATGACGAAGCTACTCTTCTTAACCATTTGCCTATTGGCTGTAAAGGCCATTACTTCAATGCCCGTATCCGATGTCGAGAGAAAAGATGCGGTTCCGGCACTTAGTGTCGTGCCTTTGGAAAAGAGCATCGAGAAAGCTTTAGAAAAGCCGGCCGAGGTAATTCAGGCCGAGCCCGTTGTATCAAACGAGCCTGTGCTCGTCTCTGAAGATAATCAAAAGACCAGGGATGAAAATTTTTTGAAAAATAGCGAAGCAAAGAAGGCCGAAAGCTTGGAGAAGACCGAGGAGAACAAGCCCGAACTTCAGGCCCAAAAAGCCAAGGAAGAGAAGAAGGTTGAGGAGCCAAAGACAGCCGAGCCCAAAGCAGCAGCTGAGAGGAAGGCCGAAGAGGAACTAAAGGTCGCACCTTCGGAGAAATATGAGCAGGTACATTAATGAAATAAGTTTAATACCTACATGGAAAAATATTTATACTAATTAGATAAAATAAAGTAAAGTACAATTATTAGCTATTTTCAAATGTTACGCGCGCTGTCGATTATCGATATGATAACAATATCAAAGAATCCCTTTTGTTTCTTCTTATTTGGCAGTTTTCGCGTTGTAACGCACGATTAATTAATAAAATCAAAATGTGAGCATAATAATAAAATTTTTATTCTTGTTAGCAACACGGAAGCGATTCAAAACAAAGTTTATTTGCTACATTACACAAGAGATGATAAATAGATTGTAAAAAGAAATGCTTTCCTTATTTTTCAGGCTGCTTCTTCAGCTGCCACTGAAGTCATATCCGACAAGAAGATTGATGAAATCCAACAGCCAGCAGAATCCACGATCGCTGTGGCTAAGGAGGCAGTCGTCCCTATAGTTGATGTACAATCGATTCCGGCGGTAGCTGTCGCTGAAATTTCCATCGAGCCGGCACAAGCGAAAAAGATCGACGAGCCCATCGCAATCGAGAAAAAGATCGAGGAGCCCGTGAAAGAAACCGCGAAGGCCGAGGAGAAGCCAGACCGCGTGACGCGCGAGGCCGAAGAGGCCGCCAAGCAGAAGGTCGGCGAGAAGAAGGCAGCAGGAGAGCAAAAGTCTTTCGAAAAAGCTTCCGAAAAAGTTGAATCTGCAGTAGCTTCGGCAAGTGCGATCGCTGCTGAGGAGAAACCGATTGAGAGTCCGGTCCAAGTAATTGCGGAGAGCAGTCAACCTAAGATCGAAGCGGCTGTGGCAACAGCCGCCGCTGAATTACCTCAGGAACCAAAGAGCGAAGCCGAGAGCAAGCCAGCAGCTGAGCTCGCCGCCGTTGAACCAATTGCTCGAAAAGCTGCCGAATCGGATGTCGAGGCCCAGGTCCAGGCCCAGCCCAACGAAGCCAAAGCCGAAGCTCAGAGTCCCGCCCAGCAAAATCAGGAAGTCGCCAAGGAACAGCGGTCGGAGGACACAGTGGCGCCAGTCGAAGTTGCCAAAGTTGCCCAAGTCGTTCCTCAGAAGGAAATCGCGGCTGTAGTAGCGGAAGAGCCTAAAATCGTGCCCGCAGCCATCGAGAAGGCGGCCAAGTCCGCGGACGAGCTCAAGGCCGAGGAGCTGCCCCAGCCGCAGGAGGTGAAGGACGCCAAAGCCGATCTGTCTAAGGTCGCTGAGCCCAAGTTGGCAAAGGAGGAGTCGAAAGCCCAAGAGTCGAGTGAGGAGCTCTTGAAGAAGGAAGAAAAGAAGGAAAGCTCAGAGGAGGATAGTAGCGAGGAGAAGAAGGAGAGAAAGGACGATCAGAAGTTGAGCTTGGAGGAGAAGGATAGCAGTGAAGAAAAGAAGGAGGAGCTGGAGGTAGCAAGTAACAAAGCCGTCGAGCCAGCAACGAACGCAGCTTCCTCTTAAGCAGTTAATGACCTCCTCTACACATGGGGGAGGCCTGCCAAAAGAAAAATGCCGTATTCCATTTTCGAGAAATGCATTTGAGGAACTGAGAACGAGAGAGAAAATTATAAGAACGAATGAGAGTATGCCGCTTGAATGGGATATCGAATGAGCGAATGTACGAAACGAGCAACTGAATACGTTTAAATTTAAAAAAGAAAAAAAAGTAAAAAAACTCGAGAAATGTAAAACAAAGTAAGGTAAGACAGAAAGAGGGCGATGAGTTGAATACGACGCTCGGTAATTGTACGCAGGGTCTGTCACACGTTATTCTGGCGCGCTACGACTTTAGCGAGTTGATTCGAAAAGACGTTTCGAGATTTGGTGGATTGGGGCGATCATGTATTAATTCTTTTTTGTTCTTTACTTTAAATAAAGTTGAATCAATAAAATGAATACAGCTCTAGTGGCACAGAGTAAAAAATGTAAATGGTATAAAATTGTCAAGATGCATGGAGAAAAATTTTAATGCGTATTAAAGTCGTGGTTACCCTGATCCTCAAAACTTGCGGCGCTCTCGAGCAATCGATCATAAAACACGTTCGTCTCGGCGGGCTCAAGTTGATCTGTTCGCATGAGACGTTCGGTTTATCCGATCCATTTTTATTTCCGTACTTTCTCCCATTCTAAGAAATTTCGACCCTTCTCTTTCTTTTTTATAATAATATAAGTATCCAGCACCATAATGACTTCACACATTATATGCAAAATGAAATTCCCTTACAATTTTCGTTTTACCTTGAACTTCAACTTTTCCTCATCCTTTTCCAATCAGCCTGCAACATACTGCTGAGTAACAAGTTTTCCTTTTGCCCCATTACTGATTATTATTATTATTATTTTTTTTATTATTATAATAATAATTATTATTATCATCATCATCATCGTTAGTGACAGTACCGCTATTATTATTATTATTATTATTATTATTATTATTATTATTATTATTATTATTATTATATTATTCTATTATTATTTGTATTATTGCTATCATCATCGTTACAATAATAATAATTATTATTGATATTACCACCGATGTTTTTACTCTGATAACTCGCCAACACTTCTTGTAGCAATGGTATATAAAACGTTTAGTTTTGAGAAGGAAGCGCATCGTGCTTATCGAAGACTTAATGGGTGTTATACTTTATATTTTCTACAATCTATAAGTATACATCTCCTCTTCTTTATAAATATTACATTAATAAAATGAAATATGAAAACAAATTACAGAGAGAGCCAATCAGTTTTTAAAAATCCAACGTTCAATCTAGCATACTGACCAGATAAAAGTGTATTATAAAGAATTTTTTTTATAATTAATTTAACGATAGTAAATAATAATATATAATAATTTACTTAAAGTAAAATCTTAGCATAAAATTATAAGTATTATAACAATGTATTTACTATAGATATTTGCATGTGAAAAAATCAATAGAACACCTAAGAAAGTAAAAAAATATATAGTTTACTATACTTTCTACACTGTATTTATATAAAAAATATATAAAAATAACATACATGTTAGAAGCAGATAAATTTGAATAGCCATACTCTTAGATAAGCAATTAAACATATTAATCAACTAATTGTTTTACAATCGATAGAAAAAATTGCACTTGAAAAAAAAACCATTTAATTTAGCTTAATAAAAGAAATATTCATTATTCATTAAATATAGTATATTATTGTATAAGCAATCGAAATACAAACAATTAAAGGAAAACTTATAATAAATCTATATTTTGAATTTAAAATTTTAAATTCTTTTATTTAAATATTATAATTATCATTAAATTTTTGTTGACGTATATTAATAGTTATTATATTCTGATTACTGTTATATTTGTAATTATAAATTACAAATGTTGGATCATTTTTGGCATATTAAGGAAGCATGGCAGGTAATTTATCAAATATTAATTAACATTTTTCAAAATTAAATTTCTATTTGTTTTTTCTATTTCTATTTATCTTAATTCATTTCACACTAAATATTAAAAGCCGAATTTCAATCATTTATTATTAACTTATTTGCTTTTCGAAGCAGATAGAATATATTTTTAAGATTATTTGAAATTCAATACTAACCATTAAAATTATTAATAATTCTTTAAAACAATAAAGAAGCTTAAGATTTATCAACGATTCTCATATGTCATAATTTTAATAAAGACTATTGGTAAAACGTATAGCGAGAATTTTAAGTTGAGGGGGTATTAATAGGTACTAATATGCTTCTTGAATTAAATTTACCTAGTTTTAAAATGTTTGATAAATTAGCACTTACTTTATTGATTTTTTTAACTATTGCGAATAAAATTCAATCAGTGCCGTTGTTATAAGCAGTTTATTATATTAATACTGATTAGCTGTAGCATTAATTATTATATATTATATAAATATATAGAAAAAAATCATTAATTATATTAATAAGAATTACTCATTAAAATTTTATTTTATTAATTAGTATATTTATCATAAAAATTAATAGTAATATAAATAAATATAATTTTTTTTTTCAAAAAATAAAAACACTTTTTACTTAAGATAAAAAATATATTTGATATTATTCCAAATATTACTTGAAGTTTTTATGAAATAAATTTCATAAAAAATCATAGAATCCTTCAAATTTGCTCGGAAGTCTTTCAGGCCAAAATCTTTAAGCACGTAATACACTGTCAAATAAATTACGGGCTTCAATGTTTGAAAATTATAAACGAATACTCGTAAGTACAATATGAATTTAAGTCACTTATATCTGGAAAGCGTGGATATTAAAAACTAGATCGATTTTAATCCTTCGAATACTTTTCGAACTAGCGAATAATGAAACGCCAGATGCGTACTTACGAGTTAGATTATTCAGCTAATCACACGCACGACAATCCGCCACGACTAAAAAATAAATCGTCCTTGCCGCCTCATAGCCAACAACTACGTGACGCCACAGGTGCCCGAAACCGCTAACTTAGTCGCACTCGACGGTTATATCTATTACTTCGTCTTTTTCCTTTCCCGTGCCATCAATTCTCACGTTTAGCATGTACATTTTAGTGCGAAAGTATTCATATACTTTAATTATTTCTTTCACTAATGAGCTAAGAGATCCCACAAGCGTGGGTTTCCGTTCGTTAATGCTGATTAAGATGAGTAAGGAACTGTGGTCTGGTGGTCTTTAAATGAGTAAGGAACGTGAAAAAATGTATCAATTGGTGAAACTGCTTGATTATTACATTCGTTAATGCTAATTAATATGCGATCTTATAAGAATGATGAAAAGTGTTATTATATAAATATAATGACATGGTAATATTTTCTTTAAGAAACATTCGATTTTTGGATAATTTTAGAAGATAAAAAAGCGGTATTTAGACTTCAAATGTTTTACACTTTAGATCTGTGAATCCTTGGGTCTCAATAAAAATTACCTTGATTTATTCAAAACCTAATTTCACTTAACCTCCGTAAAGCACCGATTTATCATTACAGAAAATTCCAAGTGAATATTTCAATATGTTTAAACAAAATTACAAAAGAATTTATAATAATATTTGTGAATACAGTTTTATATATTTATCCATGAATATTTATTCTAGTCCTATTTCTCGAATCATTGAAATATTCGTTTGAAACTTTTTACAAATCAATACTAAAAACTAAATTTACTATATTGTAGTAAATTCATTGTAATAATATTTAAATAAACATTTAAATAGTGGTAATGTAGTTGTCTCAGCATTACTCCGCCATCTCTATCTGACCTTTCATGTTCATTGAGCAAGCCCACAACGAAATATAGCATGCACATGATTAATTTTAATTCATTTCAATTATCAATTATACTTCATTAATAGCAATTTTTAAGTAATACATTATTATTAGTTATAATTAGGTAAAATTAACTGAAAAAATTACATATAAAAATACGCACGTGTATACGCACACGTTATTAATTACATACTGAAGGATAAAATGAAGAGAGCAAAAAAATTTTATGACAATATTCGAAAATTATCCGAAGTATTTCCCACGTATAAAAAAGTAATTTAGAACCGAAATAGAAGCAAAGAGAATTCACATAAATAGTAGAACGAATTTTGTAAACTCGTTTATTAATATAGATAATATTAAAAGTTATCATATGAAGGTTATCACTACAAAATATTTTAAATAAAATCATAATCATAAAATTACCTCAACAAATTTATATAAATGGGAAATTTTATATAAATATACTTGATACTAGTTAATTAAATGATGAACATTGTAATTTTATTCATTCTTCGATAACTAAAATAGAAGTTGATTGTTAAAAAGTCAATAAAAAGTAAATAGTATTTATTTTGAAATGTACAACGTAAATATAATATAATAAATTCAAAGCTAATATTGAGGATAATATATAAAATTAGGTGTTAGAAAATTTATTTAACTATTCAAGAAAAAGACAGAAAACTATAAAAAATATCATTAACTTTTGGTAGATAAATAAAAATTACATCCGATTCGATAAAAAAGGTGAAAAATAAAATAGCAAATAATGCAAAATTATAAGACAAAGTTGTAATAAACATTGGGAAACAATATTTATTAAATAATAGAGCTTAAGATAGTAAATTAATTTCATTTCATTTGAGACGAGCATAATATTTTGAAATTAGATGTTTGTGTAATCAAATGTTGAAATATTTAGCTATGAAACAGATATTTAAATATACTACTTTAAAAAATTGTAAAACAATACCATAGTAATAATCGAGAATCTTTAGCTAATATGATATAATATTCATGACAGTATTTTTTAATTTTATTATGACTTTTTTTTTTAACTGATCACACATAATATAAAGAAATTTTACCTAAAACATGAACAAGGTAAATTATATTACGACATTTTGAACTGTTCGAAATGACGAAAAAGCTCTCATTTTCATACATTACTTAAATCATATTCGCAAATTAAGTATATTGACATTTGAGTAAATTTCAATAAAACCAACGATTACCAATGGTAATATTAATTTGAACATAATTTAAATTATTAATTTTTATATAAAATAACTGCATTTAATATTGTTACGTACATAATTATCAAGCATTTGTTGATTAATAGGGGATTAATGGTATTTTTATAAAAAATTTAGAATCTCATTAGGTATTACTCGGTTATTGGTCATTTGATGCATTTCAATATAGCATTCGATTACTTGTTATATATGTATGAACATTCTTATAACGTATTAGACACACGTTTCGACATAACAGTGCTTATAAATTTATGCACCTTGAGAAAACTAAATATTGATTATAGTTGAATAGAAATAAATTATAATCTTATAAAAACATGTATTACAAAATTAATCCAATCGGAATACATTTTATAGCTGAAATTAAATTAATTAATTAATTAAAACTATTAATGTAAAATACTTCGTCAAATACTTTATATATATTTATAAAAAAATATTTTTAATAAAACATCATTATGTGTAGGAATGAAGTAAGAATACAATTTACATTTCTTTTGAACAAGCAAATTTAATAAGAACAAATGGTTGAAATTAGTTGTAGCAAGCAAACGTAATTTACTCGTGACATAGAGCGAGACACTACCGAATTGGAATATCATGTTCAAATCTCAAAAGTATTATTATTTACACATAACGATAACGCTTTGATGTTAGCTTTAATGTTATCCAATAGATTAGAAAAATTGCTTATATGAAAAATATAAGATGAAACTAGATAGAATATCCATTGAAGGGGAAGATACTCGTTGAAGAAGTATATGAAGTAAATGCCTCCGTGGCGCAATCGGCTAGCGCGTTCGGCTGTTAACCGAAAGGTTGGTGGTTCGAGCCCACCCGGGGGCGTTTTCATTTTTTTTTTTTATAATTTTTACCCCTCATTTTTGGCTAATTTACATTAAACGCACGTTTTTTCAATAATAATAATTATATTATCTACGAAACAACAATGTTGCTGTGTCAATCGTACCCGACATGTAGTATCACTCGTCTTTGCGTGATGATAATAACCATAATAATATTATTGCAAGTGGCATTTTAATTATTTTTCAACGTTTCATTAACTTTAAATTTAAATTAAAATTAAAATTAAAATTTCATTAGCCTACAATTACATACCCCTATTTTCATTAAAAATTCGTTACAAAATATCAATTATGATAAATATGAGGTTCAATTTTACCAGATATAATAAATAGCCATTAATACTAATTGCCGAATCATCATTTTAATTATAATGATTTTAATTATAATAATTTTAATTATAATTAAAAAACATATTTACAGAAACCGATTTACTTATAAAATTTTTCATTCCGTGAAATAGGTCGAAGTCTACTTTTCTTTTTTTCCGTTCAAAACATAGACATTTTGATTATTTTCGATCGTATTAATTATAATTGAATTGTTGAAAATGATACGACAGTAATTATTCGGAACAAGTATTAACATTAATGTATAATGTGAATCGTAGATGTTCAAATATTTTCATCGATATTTGCATATTTAAATTACGCAACCATTATTATTCTTATTCTACTTTTGTATGTCATAAATAATACTGATAGATAATCAAAGCCTCATTTTTACTTATATAAACATTCATAAAACTCTTATAATTATTAAATTTATGTTATTCCATGTTAAAAGAAATGGCATAATATATTACAACATGATAGCTGCTTGCTATATCAATATTATATTGGATAGCAAGTCCAATTAAAATATTTTTTTGTTGTACAAAATTAAAAAAAATTTTAGTGATTTTTTAAATTTCTTTTGTTGAAATACAATATGAAAAATCCTTTCCGATAAAAAAAAAGAAAATTAAATTTTGGCTTCATGATTATTAATCTAATAAGAATATTGAAGATGGTAATATTAATGACTAGATAATATAAATAAAAATTACAATATACTATCGTTTAAATATAATATTTATATACCATTTACCGACAAAGCTACTTAAATTATTAGACATTGTTATTTTACACGAAAATCAATCGATAAACATGCATTTCTTATAAAATCTTTATTACCGACTGTGAATATTTGTATATTAAAAACAATTAATTATAAACGAATAATAAAAGAACAATACAGACTATTTTTTATATTGAAATAAAATTTACTTAACGAAGAGTCTTTATATTATGTATGTAAGTAGCAACAATTCTTTGGCTTTACTTGATAAAAAAGTTTTGTTCTATAAGTAATATTAAAATATTTAGTCTACATAAGTTTACGAACTTTTTATCATGACTACAGTCAGCTATCGTCAGCTATAAATCAATAATTATACTTATTTAAAAATTTTTAGGTTTCTACTTTTACAAGTACTTTTTTAAAATGATACAAAATTCTATTAATAATATTTCTATAAATATCAAGATTTTAACACTCATATATTTTTTTCAAAATAATAATAATAATAATAATAATAATAACATTACAATGATGTGAAATTAAAAAGTAAATATTATTTGTACAATTACTTAACTATTTTTCGGGCAATGATGAAGTACACGCGCACGCACACGCACACGCGCACGACACGCAAACGCACACCGACCGCCACCATACGCACACAAACATCACACACACACTTTTATTAACCTACTAACTCTACATAATACACATCCCCATATATATGCATATACAATGATATTTCTAATATATTTAACTAACACGTAAGTACTGGATACATTCGTTAAAGAAAAAAAGTTTTACAAAAAAACTCAAATGACCCCGACGTGATTTGAACACGCAACCTTCTGATCTGGAGTCAGACGCGCTACCGTTGCGCCACGGAGTCTATTGGTCGCCATTTTTCAAACATATATTATACTTATGCGATAAATATTTATATATATATATATATATATATATTATAGTTCATTCATAACCGTTTAAATTACTTTTTTTTTAATTTTCACTAATTGATACATGTTATAAATTATAAATATTATATAAATTAGTAATATAAAAATTAATGAAATAGAAAATAACAAACCTCGTTTATAAGAAGAAAGCTGGATAATACACCCAGTGACCACCAATCTGCTTCATGACCATAATACTGTTTCTTAATAATTTCTGGAGCTTTATTAATGGATACAATTATAATGAAGATTTTATGAACATCAATTATAAATATATTTCCAAAAGAAAAAACTTTTAAATATATTACCCATATATTCAAATGTTCCACAGAGAGTTCCTGTTTTTTGTAAGGGTCGAAGCCATTTAGCTAAACCAAAGTCTATTAGCATCGCATGTCCCTCATTATCAAGTAAAATATTTGATGCTTTCAGATCTCTATGAATGATTCCTGCATTGTATAAAAAATCTAAGAGAAAATAAAATTGAATTAAAATACATTTTCTAATTATGCGAAAATATTAAGTAACTAAAAATTAGTAATTTATTATAAAAATTGTAGTATTTTCTTAATTTATATGATAAAGGTAAATATTTATCATATTTCGAATCAAACAGCCATATATTTATTCATAATATTAATTGAAATTTTATTCACTTCTACATAAATATACTTTCATTATTATTAAAGAAAAGTTTAAAGATCTAAACATGTATTTTTGTGATGAGTGAAAAGTGATTTTAAATAAATCAAGTTTGTTTGCTATAAGCTGACATTGTATAACTCCATTGAGTATTTACCTAAGGCGAGAGCAATTTCACCAACATATATTCTGACTACATCTTCCGATAGACATCCATATTCTTCGACTAGAGAAAACAATTCACCACCACCAATGAATTGAGTTACTAATAAACAGTAAATAAATTTTATTGCAGAAATGTGTGTCTGGCTTTAAAAAAGTTTTTGAATTTTATAAATTAATTTTTACTTACATATATACAGTGTTTTTCTTCCTTGCCACTGAAATGGTGAATCAGCAATGAAAGTATGATGTCCAATGGCTTTTTGTATCGAGACCTAAAACATTATTGATAAAAGATTATATATAAATATGCAATTATGTATTATCAGTCAATATTTAATACATTGATAAAAATTAAAAAATCTCACTTCTTGTTTTGCTTGTTGAATTGCATTTTCAGCTACTATTTTGGCCTTACTAATTATTTTTAAAGCAAAAATTTCTTTTGTTTCCCTTTTTTGTACTTTATAAACTCTACCATAGGCTCCTTTAGAAATAATATTAATGAAAATATAGTCATTTTTTAATGGCACTTCCCTAACTTGGAATTCAGGTAAAAAAATAGCTTCAAATCTTGGGACAGGCCATGCAGTTTTTGATAAATTAAGTGGATCATTCAATGTACTTTCGCTCCAGCTAAAATTATTTATAATATGTGATAAGCAAATTAATAAAACATGTATAGATTATACCTTCTACGAGAAAATCGAGACCAGGGTCTTAGTTCTTCTGATGAAGTTCTAGGTCTAACAGGTTGTCTTCCAATAATATCGCTTAGGCTGTACTATAGAATAAAATAACGTTTTAATTTTTAATAAATACAGACATTACAAGGTTAGAAATATTATAAGAATACTTTTACCTGACTAGCATATCGTCTATGAGAATAATGATATTTCTTTGTATTACAATTTCCCATTCGATCTTAAATAATGAGAAACTAGATATAGTATTATTAGCAACTTATAGCATAGTATAGTATTATTAGCATACTTAGCAACAGGTGGAAATTTCTCAATGTCAAAATTTCAAAAAAGGAAAATCTGATACCTTTTGAAGAATAATTATTTATAATTCTAGAAATATATATATTTAAAAATAATATATTGGTAGGTTAATTTTTGTAAGTAAACACATAATACCTACAGGTAAATACTAAATTTTTTAAATCTAGATTTTTATTTTATAAAATCTGTATTTAATCTTAAAATCCTTTTAATCCAACTACTTGGCTCATGAACTATTTAATTAATTATATATATATATGCCAATTATTTTTCACTATAATTTATGAAAAGAAAAACGGCATTGAATGGACAACCTTTAAATTTACTGCTCAAGTTAATAAAACCCAGTCACGTAAACATACTAATTTCTTAACAATAACTTTAAAATGCCGCCCAAGGTCCTTTCATCAATATTTAGTGTAAGTTTCAAGAACTATCTGACATTGTTGCCACTACCGACGATCGGTAATGATCAATGACTAATAAAATACGCGCTATGTGTAAATTGTCGTCATAGCCATACTTATTAAATATATAAACTTAATGTAAAGATACTAAAAAAAAAAAAAGATAAAATAACTTCTTTAGTAATTATAATATTAAGATTTATAATTAATAGTACTTAGATTTTTCGTTAATCATTGTTTTCAAATTCACGACGTGATAAATTAAGTTTAAATTACAATTAATTATATGTAATTTTGTATAAGATTTTATTATATTGTTATATTGAGTTATATTTATATCATTACAATTATATTTATTTAATAATACTAATTAAGATCATTTTTTGTCAAAGATAAAAAACATTGATGTAAAACTACATGTCGATAATACAAGAGTCGTGTTTATAAGTAATTTTGAAAATTAGTGCAATATACGAGTTATAATTCACATAAAATCTGATTAATCGTACTGATCTTTCACGTTCCTTCATTTTAGTATAAACAAGTCTTTATCAGTGGAATTTTTATATAATTTCGCTATTATATAATTACACTATATGCTAATATTAAATTAATGATACTAAATCATGTTCGTGAAGATTTAAATAAACTTCTTCGAGTTATTATTATTATTATTATTATTATTATTATTATTATTATTATTATTATTATTATTATGGATTTTAGTATGGTAACTTTATTTAGTTTACTAAAAAATTTTCTTACACGAATGCTTGACTTAAATTAAAAATGTAATTTAATTTTAATTTCATTAGTTTATTTTAATTGTCTTCATAAATTTTTGCATTAATAATTCCAAATAGATCAAATACTGTCGAACAAACATACTTTTATTAATTATTATTTCCCATCCATTCTTTCATTTCAATATTAATATCTTTTAAGGTTCTTATACAATTACTTAAGTTCATTTGTAGTAAGTATAATGCAAACTATTGAAATATATTTTATTTTACAGATAATAATATCTAAAATGTATTCTTAAACAGGACTAAACAAAACGTTATAAATATCTTAAAATAATTAAAATTTATGGACATGTATAAATTACCCATAAATAAACATCAATTGAATATTAATAACTTAACTATAAACAAGTTTGGCTTAATTAATTTTAATTTAAATACATATAATCACAAAATCACTTTCAGTTGATTGTGTATGAAAGCTCGTCATACAGTTACAGATTAAGCTTGCATCTACAATAAAAAAATATACACTTTTATTAAAATTAACATAGATGTATTATAAATTTTGTATAGTACAATGTAAAAAATATTCAAAACAAACTATGAAAATTAGAGAATTTATTGTATTATTTTGTTGGAAAGTATGCTAAGCTGCTATTTGAATCACATTTCTAAGTAACAAAGCATATTTGCATTAAATATATTTCAATGATAATTATTGTTAAATTAATACTTGTTTAAAAGTTTAATTAGCTCATTTTGGTAAAAATTGTTATTTCAAAATTTATATTCTTTAAATTTCTATTAAATTCATCCAATCATCTTTATCCTGCTTTTAAAACCGTTGGTGCATGGATAAGTTACATTGTACAAAAATTTTAAATTTTTTTTAAGAAAAAATGAGTTTTGGAAAGGTGCTTATCAAAAAAATCAACATCACAATGTTCATTATCCGTATAAATTAAAATGATATTATTAGTATAATGGTCTTCCTTGGAGTAAGATATAAACATGTCTTATATACATGTCTTCCTTGGAGTAAGATATAAAAACAGTTTTTAATTAGATTATGTCTTATTTATTTATAAATAATAATGTGTAATTACTATGCATATATTTGTCTAATAATTAAAGGTATGGCAATCTTTTTATCTGATCTTTACATTATTTGATCTTTATATTCTTTTCTCCAGTATTATTCAGTGCTATTTTTAGACTATTTTATCAGTTCACTGTAGCTTTGTGTTTTCTAATTAAAAATTGAACATTAACACTTTTTTACTTCGTGTGTGCACATGAGACTTGCCGCATCCAATGTAATTATATCATCGATAAATTCATTTTATCTAAAAGTAGATTGTAAGGTAGATGGTTTAATTATATATTCACGTTGCTATATTGAAAAGTTAATGCACATAATCTCTATTTCTAAATCTATCAAATTTTTTTTTATACAAAATTAATCAATATCCTAGACCTTTATTTAGCTACATCTCATTTATAAAACTATATTTTCATTTTCTCTGTGGAATTTTTTTTTTGTTTTTGCAAATTCTTATTTAGATAAGCGATTTCATTTCAATTCCTTTATTTGTTTAAGTTTACAGAAACAAAGTATTTAAAATTTACAAGAATTTGTATTATGGCCCGTATTATGGCCCGTATATTTTTTAATTTTTAAGTTATAATTTGTATACGTAATTTCTTTTTGAAAAATGCACAAGCCCTGAAACGTTGGGCTCGTGTTGATTTTCTAATTTCTACAATCAATTGTCATTTAGATGAAGAAATTTTGTACTAAAATTTTAGCACAGAAATGTTTTCGAATCTCTTTGCCATAACATTACGTTGCTGTAGATCCACGGTCTCAAAGAATCAGAAGACGACAGTGACGAGAAGCGGGTAAAGCAATAAATTGAATGCCGTACAGAGCTTGAAACGGCCACACACCATAACTGATAATGTTTCCGGAGTAACCTCATTACCTTTACCTGCATTCACACAGCCAGCTCATTAGCAATACAGGTGCGAATACTACGGTACAACCCATTGAAAATCCTAGGACGCCGCAATTTTTTAAGCCGGACCGAAAAATTGGCCTCCCTGTGTGAGCCAAGATTGACTATGGGACCCCAAGCTTTCCGGAAGGTAGGATAAAGGTGTCGATAAATGACAGGCCACTAGAAGCGGGGGCGAGCTCCGCGGCGAGTTATCGCCGATTATGAAACGCACGCGCGCACACCAAACCCGGAGGTCGAGCCGCACGGCAGTACGTAGTGCATCGAGCGCATAATGCTGCCATCTGGCGATGAGGCGGGCGTGCCTCCTTCCTCCGGTGCCTCCTTCCGTAGAAAAGCGGACGGCCGGCACACGGTACTCGACACTCGGCACTCGGCGCTCGGAGCAAGGCCGAGCCGCATGGGTGTACCTCGAGCTGCAGCCACGGAGCTGATCACCGGCGAAGAGGTCCCCGCCCCCACGTGATCCGTCCTCTCTCAGGGGGAGCTCGAGGTCGGGAAAACGGGAGGTGGTCGGCCGCACTCCGGGGCCGCGATGTCCATGAAGGTGAGCCCCGTTGTGAGTCCGGGCCGCTCGGTCTCGCTCGCGTTTACATTTGGAGGGTCGCGCGTCCTGCTTTCTTGCGCTATCTCCGTCCGTCGGCATGCGCGGCGCACCGGTGCGCGAGGACGAAGGACAAAGGACGAGGGACGCTTGGGCGCGCGATTTCGAATGTTACGTGGACATCGCAGGTTTGAGTGCCCTCGCAATATCCCTCGCCCATTCGCCGCCCCTCGGCCTTCTATTGCGTCCTTCGTTCTTCGTTATAGCATTCATACGCCGCGAAGCTTTCGCGCTTTTCTGATGATTGTTCACTTATAAAGTTGAATTTTGGCTTGAAATTTTTTATTTTCAAATTCTTATTGGATATCATGTTTACTCAACACTATCTTACAAGCATTGATATAAAATTTTCGTCAAAGCGCATGTCACAGTTCACGGAACTCGGTCTGTTTTTCCATTTTCTCGCTTATGCTTTACAAATATTACAATATGTGAACGTTATTATTCACTCACGCCATGTCTAATGATACGTACTGTTTACAATGGTAATTAAGGTCTTTTTTCGATATTATTACGTTGCTGTAATTTAGATATCTATGACGCGATGCCAACTACTCTCTCGGAATAGATAAGCTATTAACTCGATTATCTTAGGTAAATAGCAGAACTGAAAATGATTACTACATTCGATATTTTTGTCATAATAAGATGAAAAACAATTATCAAACGATATTTTAAATTATTTATATGATGCTATTTTTTCTATTTTATTTTTAAATAAATATATTCATCTAATTATGTATAAAAATTTGCGATATCATTTATTTTTCGCAGTAGTATTTTAGGGGAAAAAATAGTTCAAAGCATAAGAAAGACATTTTTATTTATTCTATTATCATGTAAGGATAATTATATAGTAAGCTACATTTTAATATTGATGCATGTAATTTTTTTATTTTAAAATATTAAAATGTATGAATTAAACAAAAACAAACTCTTGATGGATGTAGAAGTACATTGTGCAAGTTTTAAGTAAATTAAAAAGTTTGATCTACTCTTAACAAAAACATAAACATTAACTATATCATAAAATTGTACTGTACAGCCTACTTTGATGCAATATTATACTTCGTGTAATATTATTTTTTATGATTATTAACAAATGACTTAACGAGCGAATATGCCTATGATTCTTTACAAAAATTTAAAAATTATAGCAATATATATAGCTACATATATATGTACATATATAGCAATTTCATAGAAATCAAATAAATAAATAATTTCATAATAATATATAAATAAAATCAATTACTTCAAAATTATCTATAGTATCAATTAATTTTGAATAAATTATACTTATTCTTTTCACCAAGACTATTGATATTATTAATAATGTAGAATTTTATTATATGATTTTATTTGAACTAAAATAAACATCTTTTTTTATAGCTTATAAATAAGTAAAATAATCATATATTAATTCAAATAACAAATAAATTATAAAAAAAATAATGTTTTAAAAATAAATTATTTTTACCTTTTGTATTAACCGTTTGGTTAAAAAATTATACATTACAATTGTAATATAGGACAAGTTATTATATAATAGTGTAATTATTACATTTTTTATTGATCAAATACTAACAAATTAAATCTAATTTATTCATAAATTCGATAATAGAATCATAATGATTTAAATTGTAATTAAAGTAACCTTTATATATCGAATAATTATTTAATTATATATCCTCTTCTTTAAACAATTTATTAAAAAGCTTTGATAAATTATTTTTTATATAATATAAAATAATATTATATAATATATTATATATATAAAATAATTTATAGATTATAATAACAACATCAATAAGTAATCATTATTAAAGTAAAATATTCATTATTTTTGTACAATCCATTTTTGTAATTATTATATCATTTTATTCAAAATGAATCTTTACCCTCTACTTAAGCAAGACTATGTTTATATTCCTTTTTTAAATTAAAAAAATTTAGAATCAATTTCATTTCACATAATGAATTCGCATTTGAATATAGAATTCGATCGTCACGATCACGATAATAAGATGAAACTAGCATCGAACATCAAATAAAATATAAAATTAACAATTATATTAAAATATGGATAGAAATAATATGGGAATAGAATCGATATATTATCCATTTAATACAATTAATTTTTAGTTCCAAGTAAGCGTACATATGTCCATCTGTTTAAATTATAGAAGGAATCGCCCTGGGATGTGGAACTGCATTTGGCAGCGGCGAAAGGCGATGCGAAGCGGCTTCAAGTCCTATTGGACTCGGGTCGCGTACACGTCGACTGTAAAGATCAGGTGAGCACGAGGCAATGTGAATGCCATTGAAAGAAAAGCCGCGCGCGGAAGCGATATTTCTGCATTGCGTTATGTAACCGACGAGTTCAATTAGCCAATGAATATACTGTTGCGAAGAGCTAAATCAAAATTTTCATAAGCAAGCCCTTGTTACGTTGTACTTTCATCGAGGGCAAATACTCAACAAACTAATTTTTGAAAGATTATCACCTATTGTTGTTAGAATCTATTAAAAATATTTTAAACTATATTTTATAGTTTAGTTAATTATTATCTCTCACAAACGTTATCGTTCAATTAAAAATACTTGATTAATGAATATTCAAAATGATTTGCAAATTTTATATTATTTTTGCAATGGCTACAATGTATTTGCACATTGAATTAAAATATAATAATTTATGAAACGCATATTTTAAACCTGTATAATTATGTATATTTTGAAAGACCTTTTCAAGATTTCTGTTATTACTGATTAAATGTGTTTTCGATGGATGAATACAATACAGTTGAACACACTTTACAATAATTTGAGCCTTCGTATTAAGAGTAAATTTACAAATGATTTTTACAAATATATAAAAATGTGTAGTAAGTAAATATAACTTAAAGTGTTTAATGTTTTCTAATTTTTTAAACAAGATGAATAATTTTTATAAATTAATTTATAATACAAACGACTTTATATTAAATGTCTATTGGTATTTTTAACATTAATTTATTCAACTGAACTGTGGAAATAAAGAGCTAATTGCAAACTTTAAATCAAATTTTTTATTACGTAATGTCATTTTGATAACGGGTATAAAAAAAATGGATGAACTCGTCATATATTTTTTCACATAACATTGAATTTAAAGTTAAATAATACAATTAAATAAATTTAATAGATATTTTAATTTAAAAGCGATTGATAAACAATATGTTAAATAAATGGCTTTTTTCTAATATAAGGAAGAATTAAAACAACGTTTAACTTACATAATTGATGAGGAACATTGTATAATAATACTATTTATAACCTCAATATAATTAAAAAGAACATCATAACACAAAGAGAATTTACTATTTTGAAATTTTGATATACTCAGCAATATGCAATAAAACATGTAAATAAAATAAGTGGAAACAATTATGTTGTCCAATTTTTATAGGAAATATACAGTTACTGTTTCTATAAATTATATTTATGTTAAAAAAAGTTAAAAGTTTAATAAATAAGGATCATTGTATCGAATCATTGTCTGATTAAAACACCTTCGTTGAAGGTATTTATAAAATTTTTAAAAAATTCTACCTAATTAATAATTACATTAATTTTTGCCTAATTTTTTTAATATCATAAAGCGTGTAGCGTGTAACTTGAGTGAGAAAATATTGAGTTTCAAATTATTTATAAACGTGATGACGTTTTGTATAATAGTATATAATTGTTATAATAGGATGGAACAACACCACTGATTTTGGCAGCAGCTGGAGGTCACAATGATGCCGTTTCAGAATTATTACAGCAAGGTGCTGATGTTAATGCCAAGAGACTGGTAAGAGTATGATAAATGATTTAGAAATGTATGTCAGTCTAATTTCCACTTTATTAAACAAGTTAAAAAACAGTAAAAAATTATTTTGATATTTAAAATATTTTTTAAGCGTTAAATTTCTTAATGAGCTGTATTATAATTGTTTTTATTGTAATTAATTTAACTAAACTTCGTTTAGTTACGTATAACTGTAATTATTAAACAGCATTATTATTCATAAGTAAACGTTGTGATCAATTCGTATTATTTTTCTATAATTCGACGATATAAGTTCCATTACTTATTTATCAAAGATTGATAATACGGACGTATACCAACGTTTCCATTTTTATGCTTGAAACGTGCCTACAATGATCATAAAGCTTTAAAAACTCTATTCGTATCATACCATAATAATTAATACCACAAGTTGAGAGTTTAGAATTAAATATCGATAAAGGCTTTTAGATTTCGTAGAGTTTAAGATTAGTGATGGATTTAAAACTTATTGATAATCATTGCTAATTCTTGTATACATCTGGATCTTCTAGTTTAATTAAAACGATGCAGTGGAAAGTCTATTGTGAAAGGAGATTGACTCAATAAATTACATTTTAAAATCTATTGCATTTGTAAGTGTATAGGATCGTTAAAGCATAAAATTGCGGTGGAGAATTTCGATGATATGACACTGAAATTTAGTATAAGAAAACTTTGGCAGTAAAGATAACAGTAAAGCGCTTTATTGTAACTGTGAATGCAGCAATTACAACGATGAAAATCGTAAATTGTAGTGTAGATAAATTATACCTTCAACAACTGTTGCAACGATAACTCGCTAACCGAACTATAAATTTCGTTCAGTTTGTAGTTTTACAGCTTAATATTTCGTAGCTTCGTACGATGACTCTTAACCAGCTGTAAACGTTGACAATAAATTATAAAGTAAAATTTGAAATACCTACTCCCTCTTACATCAAGTAAACGGAACATTAGAAAATCTTGAAACAGTAAGTCCTTTGTTCATTCATTAACAACACAACACACGTTCGTTGATATGGGACATTTTCATAATGCACGCCGGTTAAAATGCTCCGATTTCGCTCGAGAGTTCTTTCACGGCATAAATAGACGGCATCGTCTTAATAAATCCTACATTGGCCTTGTTACGCGCTCGGTGAACAAAGAGATTCGAGCTGAAATTTCATGAACAAACGGGCGTAGAGTCGAGACTCGGAGCGTCTCGGCTGATACGGCACGTAGCCGCCACTCGAGGATCCGTCGCTCCTCACGGGGACCTTCGGAACGAGGAGCTCCAGGTGAGTGCTAAAAGCCGTGCAGACACGGCGTGGACGAGTCACGGCTTCGTAGGAGAGCAGCGCTGAGAGGGTAACGACCTTGGTGGCTTCCGCGCGCCATCCCGAGTGCCCCTCCCTCGGAAATCCCCCGCGTTGCCCACGCGCGACGCCTCCTCGGCTTCGGCTTCATTGTCAAGGGGCTTTTATTGCACATCAATGTGGAGGCGCACACGAGGTTTTACGAGATATTTTATGCGGGCGCCCGAGAATTCTGCGATTTTGCCTTCCATACTCATCTCGAGGCTCGTGTCGTAGTTCGATTATTGGGGAACTTTATGACCGTTCGACTGAATGACGAAGCCCTGATATTATTCCTTGCCTCGATCATCACTCTTTCGAATGTTAATCTATTACGTTGGCTATTAGATTGCTTTGCGAATCCAATTTAATTTCGTAGAGGTTGTGACTTTCGTGGAACAGGGAGCTAGTTTTTTTGCCGAGTAGCTGAAATATGTCGTTCAATCTATCCCTTATCTTAAATAAATATCTTAAATAGGTAGCGCAGAATTTTATGTGCAATGTCAAAAGCCTATAGCACGGAAATTGCTGGACAATGTAGAAAAATCGTAGTCGCGGATGAAACGAAATTAGAAAATATAAACACTTGATCTTATGATTCGATGATATTCGACCAGATACAATTTCATGCGTGCCTGAGCAAAAAGTAATGTGCAAACGCTTCGCTTGTATGTACTGGAAATTATTCAGCATAGTATTTCGTATGCTTTTATTAGAAATAACGTGGAAAAGTATAAACAATGAGGCAAAAATCAATGTTGATCTCCAATAGAGCTGAAATCCGGTTTGTAGAGTACGAAAATAGCGCTCGATAGCTTTAATTCTCATGTAAATGTATGCCTGCGCGGATGCATGCTTTGGCAAATGTAAGTTTATGCGCACGTAAATGCTAAGAAAGATTTCAAAAAAACGTTCGCATATTCCGCTGCAACAAAAAGATTCACTTATGTAAAAGTAATTTACACATTGAAGCAATTGAAGTGTTGGTGAAATCTCATTTGCAAATGGATTGCCAGTTTCCTTAGTTTTTTCAGGGGTTCGTCATAAGCTGGGCATCAAATTACATTAACCTCCCATCGAAAAATTGCATAATCGTTATGTATCAAAGTTTTCTTACGTAATGTCGCTTGTTTTATTGAAACAACAATTCTTATTCTTCTTCGTCCTACGTAATGTAACGAATGTATTTCAACACTACCACGCATTTGCATATTTTCATCTTATTTCCGAGCAAATTACTTTTCAGGGGCATTAATAAGACCTTTTTACAATAATATATAAGAATTAGTGTTATTGATGATTGTTTGAATTGATGAATGTTTGAATTGATACAAACTCAGACAGCTATTATTAAAGTTGTGTTAATGAATTTACTGTGATAATTAGTCAAAATATATTATAATTCAACAAATGAGTCATCAGTGCTATGTATTACATAATTTATTATCAGAAGAAATTGCACCCATAGTATTTATCTCCAGATATATATTTGTATGCAATGATATCCTATTGATGTATTATACAATAATCCGATCTTAAATAAGTAATTTGTGATTATAATATAAGATACTTAGAATATTTGATGAGACTTTAAAACTAACATAGAAAAGTAGCGACATAAATAATAGGATTTAATAAAAAATTTAATTTAATAATAAAAGTAATTTTAACTTTAAATTTGATAAATTTTTATTTAAATTTTTTATTTCAATAATTAACTTACATGTGATTGATAAAATTTATATGATTTAGAATTTTATAAAATTCATCAATATTTATATCAATATTTATAAATATCATTTATAAGGTAAACTTACGATGTCACAATATAAATTCTATATATTAACTAAATTATTTGACAATACATGAGAAAGCTAATACATCACAACTTGAAGATTTAAGACCAAGTAAAGCTCACTTTAGTCCTATAGAAAATTACTATTCTCGCGATATCCAATATAACTGCTAAATGCTTGATTACATTAAAAGTTAACATATTTATTAATGCACAAACATTTAAAACGTAAAAATATCATAAGCTTATTTTTAATAACCATCTCTTAAATGACAGGGTACTTTTTATTATTATTTTCCAATCTATTTTAAAATAAATTTCACTCAGCGATGCAGAATGAGGATTTTCTGTGATTTTAGAATTTTTGTGGTATCTGTAATAGATAGGTATTGTAACTCTTTGGCCTCACATAATTTGCGAACCGTATAATCTTGTGAAAATAAGGAATCGATGAAATATAAAAAGGTAATGCAAAAGCTCTTCAATTCAGAAAGTAATATATAAAAACTGAATTTCACTTCGTTCATATTTAATATTAATAGTATATTGCTGTAATGTTATAACATCTATTATAATTAAGAATCAATTTATTTAATTAAAAATATGATTTTCTATTTTAAATTGATTTTCTATAAAAATGTCTAGTATTTTAGTGTACGGCCATTGTCAATATGTAAATTTTATTGTGTTTGTTAATAGGCAAATAAGTACTAAATTAAATAAAAATTGAGAAAAATTATGAATTTTTGAAATCGATAAAAACATCAATATTCTTAAAACACATAAATGATATAGAATACTTTTAGTTGCTCAAAGAGAAAGCACTACTTTATAATGTGACTTGCGTACTTAATCTTTGGAGCATACGGAAAATTAAAAATTATTCGGTTAAATAATTATAAAAATTAAAAGTTATAAAATAATCCAGTCAATTTGATATTTCTCATATTAGGAGTGATTATCTACCTCCAAAAAAAAAATTAATATGGCAAGAATTTTTTTAGTAAAATTGCAAGCGTAAGTGGATTCAATATTGAATTTCAGCAATAATACACTCCTAAATGTACTCTATCAAGAACTGGTTGCATTAATTTTGTTACAACACGAGAAAGATAGGTCGACGTACCCATAATTGTCTTTCACATGCACACACGTATACACTTATGTAAATTTAAAGATTAATTCATTATCCATACTTTAAACATATGTGCATTTCAAAATCGAATTTACACTCATCTGCATGAAATAAAATCGTAATTACGTAAAATAGACCAAATCGTTATAGATTTAATATCTTAATTTAATAAGAACTGTTCTGATATGATATTTACATGATAATTATTTTTAGATTTTTATATAATGAAATAATTCCCTGCAAACATTGAAACATCCAATGAATCATGGAACAAGAAATTTTATATTTACAGACAAGTACCACGGCATTATTTTTCTCGGCACAAGGAGGCTACTTCGACATCACTATTACTTTAATTGAACACGGTGCTACTGTTGATTCCTGCAGCATTGTAAGTCGTTCGTTAATCGTTAAGCCGTGCAACTGTTAATTATGAATGTTTGGCTTTTAACTCTTATTTTTAAAAATTGACATATTATCAGGTGTCGATATTATGATTTGGTAGACAACATTTTCATACGTATATATATATATATATATATATATATATATATGTATCGTTAACATTTCCTTTATTATTATTGTGAAATTTGATTCACAAAAATGTGACAAGCTAATTAATACCTATATGAATACTTATGTTATTAGCACATCGTGAATTTAAATGGTTAAAAAGAGTGCTAAAGTTATATATCCTATAAAATTAATTAATCAATGAATGATTTACGATTCTAGGATGGTGGCACTCCACTTTTCGTTGCATGTCAATATGGGCATCTTGACGTGGTTGAGGGATTGATCAACAAAGGAGCTAATGTAAACGCGCATATGAAGGTATACATTTGCTATAACTAACATTAAAGGATTTACTAAGAAATAAAGTGTCAAAAAGAAAACAATTGAGCCATCATTAAGGATAAAATTATTATGTAGAAGAAGGAGGCGATCTAATAGCATGTTCAAGTACAGTTTGCCAGTACTATTAACACGCAAAACACATTAAAATTATTCACGAACTCGGAACTTACAGGTATAATTAGAATCATGCGAATAAAGTTACTAATTTAGTGGAGCGAAGATATAAAAGAAAGTTGTTACTTTGCGAAAACCAAATTCGTGAAATAATATCACTGTTGTCAAAATTGTAATCAGAACAAAATTAAATTAACAATTTGCCAGATACAAATAGTTTCATGCATTTCTCCTAAGATATTGATTTATTATTTCGTTAAATTTAGTTTATTAATTTTACATTATTATTGCCAATTTTTTTATATTACTATATTTTTACTGAATTTGTAAGATTTACATTATTAAAAAGCCTCGCCTATTTAACATCTCAGTTATGTCAAATTCTATTTCATTGTAGAAGTATTAAAACAATACATAAAACGAATAATAATAAATAAAAAGGAGTTTTATATGCAAAATTTTACAGCCTTATTTTGCAAAAGTATTGTAATTCTTAATAATCACTGAATTCTGGACATTTGCTCGAATTATAATAATTTCTTGGTAATAAATGTTAATGTACGATTAAAAATTTCAATATTGAACATTAATTTCCAATGACAGACACTGGTCTCATTTAATGAAAGAGTATTATTGGAATCCCGTTAAAATGAAGTCTGGCTTTGGATTAGCCAAACAACACATTTCAAGTTCGTTGACAGTCGAATCAAAATCATTATTTACCACGAATGATCGATTGCTAATATAATTTTGCTCTTTGGACGTTAAATACTTACTTGCAAACGGTCTAGTTCTAGAGCTTCGTTGAGCTTAAAGTAATCAGCCGGTAATATTCATTTATGGACGATCCTGAGCCTAACACACCAGCCCTTAGCGGCATTAAAACCGAAAACTACATTGCGTAGGACGGGGCGACGGCGCTATTCATAGCCGCGCAAAATGGACACGTGCGCATCCTGGAGGTGCTGTTAGGACACGGAGCGAAAGCAGAGGCTGCCAGGACGGATGGTGCGACGCCTCTATGGATCGCAGCGCAAATGGGTCACGATCACGTAGTCAGAAGGCTCCTCAAAGCCGGTGCGAAAGTCGATTCTAAAAGACACGTAAGCAGCCCGACATATTTTTAGAATTTTTTGCTTAACCTTTTCTCCCGTTTAACTGTTCGCGAATTTTACACTTTAACGAGAACGATTGATACATCCGTTAATAATTATAGTGCTCCATTTTTGACGACACGAGCTTCTGTGCTTATAACCGCTCCTTCACGAGTGACTTTATGATCACCGTTCAACGGTACCTAAATAAGTGGTTTACATCTGTCTCGTCAGTACTTCATTATTTTCATTTAAATTTAATTGCATGCTGATATGTATATGAATAAAACACAAAAACAAAACACAAAAAATTTATTTTTATTTTAATTTTTATTTTATTTGGCAATATTATTGATTTTTAAGGAAAAAATTTAATGTAACTTAAAAAGGTATAGAAAGGCGGTAATATCCATCGATTTTTATTTCATTTGCGAATTAATAAAGTAGCTGTCTTCGATCTTTTCTCTTCTTTTTTTCAACATGAATCATAGAATAATCACGTTTAGAAATATAACTCGTTAATAAGATAACATAAACTTTATTTATTCTTAGGATGGCGCAACACCTCTATTCAAAGCCGCTCACAAAGGCCACACAGCAGTTATCGGTGAAATACTTAAGTATCGTCCAAATCTTGGAATTCTTTCTGTGAGTAACATCTTAAGAGCTTTAATAAATTTTTGAAAGATATCTTATACCTTATTGACATTATTCATTTAAGTTCTCAAAAAGTCTTGTATCCTTAATATTAATTAGTAGTAGTAGTAGTAGTAGTAGTAGTAGTAGTAGTAGTAGTAATAGAAATAGTTTCATTTCATGACTTTGCACTATCTGCTTATATAATTCCGTTAATAAGGATATCGATCTTCATTTTTCTTTCAGAATGGAGAAAGTGCTCTTCACGCAGCAGCCTTAATGGGTCATATGACGATTGCACGTCAACTTGTCGGTGCAGGCGCTGATCCTTTATTGGCCAATCAGGAAGGACTCACACCGCTCCAAATAGCTATTAGACACTCACAGAATCAAGTTGCCAATTATCTTAAGGAAAAAATCAGGTTAAGGACAGTAATCTGTTAAAACGAAATTTTTAGAGTTCATGGCAAAATAAATAAATTCTTTTAACCCTCACGATTTTTAATTCCAATAATATGTGCTGTCCTACTTTGTAGCGTTTAGAAAAAATTTTGTAATACTACTTCTTACATATAATGAGATACGTTTATTAGATGAAATAATAAGCTGTTAAATAAAGTAAATAATAAATTGTGTAGTATGCAAATCGCCGACATAGTATTGCAATTTATTGTGAAACTTATATAAATATTTTTGAGAATTATACAAAACACATCCCTTTAAATGGATTTTTCTACTGTACATATACAGTCGCGCATTAAAAAATCCTTTATTTCAGAAAGTAGTTAGTAATTTGAATAATTTTCTATAAATTAGTCAATTATTGTTTTATATTAGTACCGTTACTAATTGGACAATCAAGTAAAATTTTTTGCTAAAAAGTTTCGATACAAGTTTTATACACAATTATTTATGGAATAAAATTAACTTATTTATTTTAATCATCAGTCTTAATGCGTCCAATTCATTTTAAGATATATTAAAATTCTATAAGACTGATTGATTTGTCTTACCGTGATTTCGAATTATCATTGTACCGAAAAAGATAGTGAAACATAGAAATATATGAATTTTGTATTTATATTTTACGTTTAAACAATGAAAGTCTATTATTTTTATTGTATTTATATTTTACATTTAAATAATTAAAGTCTATTATTTTTATTTTATTAATCATATTATAAAAATTAATTTTTATTTGCACGATAAATATATTTGTTAAGACTATTATTTTAAGCAATACAGAACATTATAAAAGCGTATTCTCGTCGTAATACAAAACATGTAAATTAAATTAGCTTCTTATTGTTAAATATAAAATTATAAGTATTTACAATGATTTAATAAGGAGTAATAAAATTATACAAAGTACTGATAAAATTAAAATCTTTTATTTAACATTATGAAACCATCTTTTAAGTTATATATATTATATTAATATGTACATTGCTAAAATGCAATATTATTTGCTCTTCAAAATATCACAGATCTGCTCGAATACTTATCGGCCTTAAATCCCGATGAAGTACATACAGGTGTGCATTTTGTTTCCTTGTACTTTCCTTCTTATTTTTTATTATAAATTTCACACAATGTATTAAACAAAATGAAAAACCACGATATATATTTTATATCAATTTAATATTTTAGTTTTTTCCAAATAATTTAAAAAACATATTAAAGTCATTCATACAAACATAGTAACACAATAAATCGCTTTTAAATTAAAATATTAAATTACGCACTATTCTAGGTATGCGTAAATTTTTATATATTCTCATACATTATCATACACATATATCTTTGTATAGTTTATCAGTAATTGGAATTTACCTTTAAACACAGGCACTAGTAAAGATCTTAATCTCTTTTTGACATTGTTAGCAAGGAATAGCACAATTCAAAGTATCAAGTGAAAAGAAACATTTATAATTTATACGAAAATATATCTTTGATTAGTAAAAAAATCTTCGCTGTTTAAGACGCTTAAGTTCGCCTTTGTATCTAGTTTGTTAAGTGGTTGCTTCCTTTTTTATTTCAGATACAAATACTCATCACAAATGAATTGCTGCGCTCTAGACATTCACGAGAATGTGTGTCAGAGGAATAAATTCGCTGGTTAAGAGAGTTATATGAGCGCCAAATAAGTACCACAGAAGTGAATAAAATTTTTTTGTATAATCATCCTGTGAAAAATTAAAATTAAAACGAGCGCCCGCGCCTAATGTTACATGTTACGTACGACCAATAATGATTTCTTTTTTATCAATAATCAACATTGCACTGATAAGAAAGATAACTTCTTCGCTCTTTACGTATTTGGGACGCTTTTTAATCTTGAAATAATAGCATACAATAACAACCATGACGCGGGACCGTATGCCTGATTTGTGTGCAGTAAGTTTATTATTATGCAGTATGCTCAAGTTTTTAATTTATTTACATTTTTCTAAAGGCGAAAATAAAAATTACAGCCTGCTTTGATTTTTCTAGGTTCGAAAAAACTCTCTTACAAAGAGTAATAGTTTCTTGAGAAATGTCCAGTTTCAGATGAAACAAAGCAAAAAATTGCATGAACTTCTTGAGGAAGTATGTACAAATAATAAATTCAGTTCATTCAATTCATGCAATATTTAATATAAAAATATAATTCATTTGCTTTAAATTCTTGCTTCTGTCTAAACAGATAATAACATTTATTTAAAGATTAATTTTTTCTGCTACTGTTTATATATATATATATATATATATATATCATTGTATATTTGATACAATAAAATGACTTTAAGTGAATATACACATTCACTCAATTATTTCACATTTTCATATAATCAAACATTTAATTAAATTCTTATTTATATTATTTAGTAAAACTGATAAAATACAATATTTTTACAGGTTCAAGAAACTCGAGGTTTGATTGATGCGATGATAGAAAATATTGTTATTGTAAAAAATATACAAAACAATGTACTTTTGCACACAAATCAAGGTGCGTTATACAATATTTATAAGATAAAGCTTTAAAAATGCTAATAAAAAGAATTTTACAGAATTTCAGAAAGAATTGGAAATCCGAACATCTACCATTACTCATTTAGCTCACAAAATCTTTAATAAACTAAGAGGTAAGCTGAAGTTAACCAATGATTACTTGATTTTAGAATATTTATTATTAAAATAAAGCCTTATTTATTAATAAAATAAATTAAATTCTTTGCTAGTATTTCTCGGTTAGAGGAAGTGATCTTAATATAAAATTTTTCAATTATAACAATTTTTACAGCCGTCAATATAAAATTCTCAAAATGACTAAATTGTTAACATAAATTTACTTCAAACAGTAAATATAATTATGTAGGAGTGCAAAATTTAGTAAAAATATTATACTATTTACAAATTGTATATAATTATATTTTGTAAACTGTCAAGATAAAATTAAAAAGGGAATCAAAGAAAATTTTCCAGCATTTTCTTCAGAAGTTTAAGTATTGGGCACCCAACACTTATGTTCTTACATTTTGTACATTATAAGATCCCTCCAAGAATTTAGTTATTTGGTTTTGGCTTATTAGTTGACTCTGGTTCTAACACATCAGAAGATGAATTAATATTTTGTATTGAACTCTTTGAGCTAACTGTTATTCCACTACTGGATGGTTCAGCATTTGAATTTGGAGAAATTGTAGTTTCTCTTGGAGGGCTTTTCCATTCCTTTATACCTGGATAAGTTAAAGTGGATAATCTACGTAGAACTATTCTTGGTAGAGTAGTTAGTTGTATATCTTGAAGTTTCTTTGAAGTAGTAGCACTAGATTTATGTTTTTTAAAGTTATTTTTTGTAGATACATTAGCATTTAAGTCTCTTTTCTTTAGAGGATAATTTTCATTTTCTTCAGTTACATCTTTATCTACAGACACATGTTTCTCAAGTGAGCCAGAATCATCTGCTTCAGATCTTTTTCGACACGTACTAAAACAAATAAATAAACAATTACATGGATAAATACATAAATATTGAAAACAATAAACTTGCAAATAAATTATTATCAACAAAATACTTTTCTAAAATTATCCAAAGAGTAAAAATAGAAAATTTAGATAAAAGAACAATATTCAATTAAATGAAACACACCTAATATCTTGATCAATTTCGATTTTGAGTTCAGGATGTTCATCAAATATTTCTGCTACTTGATCTTTATTAAATTCAGATATGATTTTTATAAGAAATTTTGAAACATCAACTAATAGTGGAGACTTACAATTAGTAAGAAATTGTCTAAGTTTTATTAAAGTTTGTAACATAACTTTAAATTTGAATTTTTTCGTTCCTTCTATTATAACATTAATTGCATTACCAGATGGATTTTCAAGAACAGCAGTATTTTCATCTTGATAATCTTCATCTTGCATTTTACTGCCAAAAGAAGCCTGCATTCGATCGTTCGAAATAATATAAATAACATCCTTAAGAACACAAGCACCTTCTGTATGTTTTATATCTATAGATTTTTCACATATTCCTTCTAAAATTTCTGAATTTAATTTAATTAAAATTTTGAGTTTATTTGGTGGATCAAGATGCTCTAACATGAAATCATAAATCATCCATCGTTTTGCTTCATTTTTTTGACCAGGTAATGTTAAAGCATCCCTTTCTTTTTTTCTTATTTTTCTATCATTAAATGTATGTCTTGTTTTACAATTATTATAATGAAATAAACTTCTTACAAAAGATTGAGATATTAATGTCTTATTCTTTACTAATAATCGTTCTTTAATAAGGAAAACTGTTAACTCTCTTATTGTCTCATCATTATCAGAAAGCATTGTTAATATGTGATAGAAAAATGCACCTTTCACTTTAATATAATCTTCAAGCAGTAGCTGTACAAATATCACAACTATCGCTTCTCTAACCATAACATTTGCATCTTTCATACTTATGCACATGTCTGGTAAATAAGGTTCCACTAAGGCAGTAAATCTAACACAAAGATCAGCTAAGGCTTTTACAGCATTTACTCTGATAGCAGCTTGCACTAAAGATTCAGATGTGTTACTTCTACACATTAGCCGTCCCAGAATCGGCATTATTTGCTCAGCAATTTCTCGATCTCTCATTGCTTGCTGTCCTAATAACACTATACCAGCAGCTTTAAATCTTTCTATACAACTTATAGGAGTTTTAATTGAATCACAATCCAATAGTAAACTTTGAATAATGTGCAAGGTAGATTCTGACACACTTTCAGAACATAATAGGGAAGCATGACCTAAAATACTCATAGCTTTTAAGTATATGTTAATTGTTTCCTCTTCAATGTGTTCATCTTCTTCTGTTAATTGTTCGATTTGGGCTTCAGATAATCTAATCAAATCAATTACATGTGAATGCATGACTTCGTCTCCGGTAGATGTATGTAAGTATTTTGTAATTCCACCTAAAATATCTATGCACATACTTATACTTTCCAGACCAATGTCAAAATTACAAAGACTTTTATAAAGATATGCATAAAGATTTTCCAAATACTCTTTACCCATAGTCTGCCACATATATCGTAAAACTTCTAGTTTTAAGGTAGTGACAAAATCATTACTTTCAAGTATTTCTTTATAATTTTCAAAATATTTTTTCATATTTTTGAGATCTACATGTTCTGATAAAGATGAGAGTAATATCCATACTTCTGTATCATTTTCTGTTCCTACATGAGATTGTATTCTATTAATTAAAAAATTGGTAATAACACCATTTTTTACCCAATTATCACAGACTTTTGATAAGTTTTTTCTCATTTTTTCCTCTGCTATTTTTCTTATAATTTTCCATGGTAGACGATCTATCTCATCATTAACTTTTACATTAAATGATTTTATCCTGTTTAAAACTAAATTCTGTAATGATTCTAAAACTTTTTCTTGAACTTTAGTTTCAACATCAAATATCCGAGGTAAGACAGCTCTTACATATTCATGTATTACTTTTTCATCAAATGGATTACTTTGTAAAAGACTAGCTAATACATGAATTGCATCTCGACGAACAATTAATGTAGGATCTCTACAGTGTTGACTGATAATAGGTGCCACACTATGTAAGAGAACTGGAAAGTTCATTACTAAATTTTCAAATAAATGTGTTGCACTACGTCTCACTAATGCTCGTTCATCTTTTATTCTATCTAATAAAACTGAATTAAAAGTTTCAGATCCAGGAAAAGGATTAAGATCAGTTATAAGACCTCGTAAAAGAATTGTTTCTGTTGGGAATGGTTTGTCTTGTTCTAACGTATTTAAAAAGTCCTTGACTGTAAAAACTTTACTATTAACAATTGATTCAATTATTGACATTGCTTTTCCTCTCACCATACTTGAAAAATCAATACAGCGACTGAGAGTAGTAGCAATTAATATTAACTTAGTTTTTTCTCTAATATGAGTTTCATCATCCGATTCATTGATAGGCATTTCTAACAATAGTTTTCCAATAACTTCTTGAGCAAATATTCTGTATGGTATTCTGTTATGATGAGCAAACTTAATTAAGTTTTCTATAGATTTAAGAAAAGTATCTCCTTCACATATACTAATTAATTTTGAAATAACTGTTGCTTGCTTTTGTCTAGCTTCTGCTCGATCAGGACATTTTACTAATAAATGTTGTATTAATGTTTTCATCCCCAATTCTGCATATGATCCTTTTGAAATTAATAATTTTTTTAAAAAATATATTATTGTCTCCCAAACTATATTAGCTGCCTTTGATGGTAAATCTAAATAATTTGGATAAAAATGAGGCATCAAATATTTCATTATCAATCGGATAGTATCTTCTATACCTCCATGTCTTGTATCGCAAAGATCTTGTAAAGCTACATAAGCATTAAAGGATAAAGAAGTTTTAGAAGCCTTTATCATCATTTTATTGTGATAAGTTTGAAAATGATTGACTTCAGTTTCTAATTTTGTTACTTCAACTAAGCATAATACAGTTATTTCTAATGATCTTACTTGGTATTTCATATAAAATGTTTTCAACATTGTAATTAAATCAAATAAAATACTATTTAAACCTTTTACTAAAGTAATTTTTTCACTTTGCAATATACCTTCATTTTGATCATTAGCATATAAGCTTTCCAAGTCATTAATTCTATGGTTCTTTTTATGTACTACTAATAGTTCACTTAATTTTAATGTTTCAATTGCCCATTGGTACAAATTTGGATGAAAAACGTGAAATGTACTACTACCGGGAATACTCAAAAGTGTAAAATATAAACTAGTAGATGATAGACATGCTTGGCGAGAATCTTCATCTGCTCCTACATTCTGACCTGTTTTTATAAGATATCCTAGAATAGCAAGTAATCCTCTTATATTAATATTTAAAGCGATAAAAGTTTGCCACGAAACTTCAACTCTATCTTGATCATTAACATTATCTTTAATTGTATTGTGTAAAATCCAGTTTTTTACAGCACTATAAGCCTCTTTCAAATATGCTTCCATGTCTTCACTTCCCAATAAAATAGAATAATCAGCTGGAGGCTCGGGAAAAGACATAAATTCTTTTTGCCACACTTCATCACTCCACTTTTCATCTAATGTATCTAATTTAAAATTTTCAAATATTTGCAGGGGATCCATTATATATTCTTTGTCAAGTCATCTCAAACATTTTGATCGCATGCGATACTATGATCTATAACGCGTGACGACTTACTTTAAGTAAACATAACCTTTATTTTTTAAAGATCGTTAGATAAACAAACAAGATGGTGATGTTACTAATCAAAATGTGTCGCGTTAATAGTATTATGAAAGTTTTCAATTTGGCATTACTGATTCTTCAAAATTTGTATTCATTCAAGAAATATATTTGTATTAACTGTTATGTACATTATTTGCTATAAATAATTATAATAATTATTATAATGATCACATTGACATTCTTTAATAAAATTATATTTTCATTTCTAGAATTAGGAAAAGATATTATTAATATCGAAGATATTACTTTTAATATTGCACGAGAAGGACCAGCTTATAGCAGAATTAAAGTTTTACAATATACAACAATGTTTAAAATGTATTCAGAAACTATGCAAGATTACAATGCAAATTTATTACGATATCAAGATAAATGTTCATTACTTCTGCACCAACAGAGACATTTATGTAATAAAACAATTACCTTAATTAATATAAGATATTAACAAATAACATTTCATTTAATAGATTATAATTTTTATATATAGTAAGAAGACAGATTACAAGCCAAGAATTGGAAGATATGCTTGACTCTCCTGAAACTAGTTTATTTGTCGATAATGTAAGTATTTTTTGGTAAGGAGCATTTAATTTTTCGTTATAAGATTGACGTATTTTTATTCAAGATTTTAGTAGAAACTAAGTTAGTTCAACAACAATTATCAGATATACAAATAAGACATAATGAACTTGAAAAACTAGAAAAATCTATTGTCGAAGTTAGAGATATTTTTCTTGAAATGGCATTTGTAGTTGAAAAACAGGTAAGAATTATTAAAATCATTAAAAATTGAATCCTTAGGTATTTAACTACTTAATTTCTTAGGGTGAACAATTAAATTGTGTCGAGTATTTTGCAAGTAAAGCTACTGATGATATTGATAATGGGCGTGAACGTATTCATAAAGCAAATAAAAAGACGAAATTATTGAAAAAGGTAATAACTAAAGTTTTTGTGCAATTTTTAAAATAATATTTTGATCATAAATATTTTAATTTCAGAGGAAAATAAAAGTAATTTTAGTTATGTGTATAATTGTTTTATTAATTTTTTTACTGATAATTTGTTCATAAATCAAATTTTATATAAAAATATGAAAACACAATAATAAATTGATGTTAATTTATTTTATATAATTCTATTAAAATTTTTTAAAAAGTGTATATATATATATATATAAATGTATAATCAATAATTTACCTTATTTTAATTTAATTAAGGCAAATAATGTTATAGTCTAAAATGCACAATGAACACTAATAACATATATACAAGACGTCTTATATTTTATCAGTAATGTCTCGAACACAATATTTGAAAAACGAAATAACACCTTTTGCACTTGGTCTCGTTTTGAAATCTGTGTCTGTACAAATACAAAATATTTCAAGTACTCTATCATACTCTGGGCCAAGATTTATAGCAGGTAATGGGGGTCTTGTGCCTAGAAATAAATATGTAAGTTAAAATATAAATAAAATTTTATTAAAAATATTTAAGACGAAAAAGTTATTGTAATTACCATAATTACTATCATCCGGATCCTTCAAACTTTGAATAAAACTATCTTCAGTATTTAAATTTCGATCATTATTTTCTTTACTGGTATCAATCGATTTACACTCAAGCATGGAATTGTCTGTACATATACTCATTGATTTGTCTGCATTTTCAACATGTGGAGGTGACAATGCTATCATTTCCCAAAGAACAAGACCATATGCCCATATATCTGCTTTGTTTGTAATTGGCCCCTCTTCTATTATAAGAAATTATTATTTATTAAATATTTAAATATATTTATAAAGGATATATAATATCAAAGATATCAATTATTAATATATATCATAAAAATAATTTGTTTTCAGGTAACGTAAAATGTGACTAAGTATTTTGATCGAATTTAATATAATATAGAAAGTATTGATAAATGATAAATTATTTTTTGAAAAATTTACTTGAGATGAAATTTAAATTACAAGATTTTTATTCTCAAAAACGATTGTCTTTAATAAATTATGATTAATTATTTAATAGTAATTATATTTAGTATATTTATAAAATACGTATGTAAAAAATGTATCTGTACAAAATTAATTTGAATAAAAAATTATATTATTATATATTACTCTAATAGCAGGTAGTTGAAATTATAAATGCAATTCTAAAGCCTATTTTATAAAATATTTATTAATTACCATTAATAACTTCTGGAGCACTCCAACATCTTGTACCAATATATGAAAATTCTCCATTTTTCATGTCGACTTCCAAAGATTTGTTTAAAGGTACAGAAACACCAAAGTCACAAATTTTTACAATGTTGTGATCTTTTGAAATTAAAATATTATAACTTTTTATATCACCATGAAGTATGTATGCTGTGTGATGTAAATATTCTAAGCCCTTTACAATTTCATACGAAATTTTTAATATTTTTTCTGCTGAAAATTGTGGTTCTCCAGCATCAACTTTCTCTTCAATCAAATCACCTAATTCAATTGTACACAATTAGATGGAATCTGCTTTAATTTCAATAAAAATGTATATTTTTTATTCTGTCATTCCACCAACCTAAAGAAATATCTAATTTTTCCATAGCAAGGCAGGGATCTCCATTCAATCCATAAGTGAATGCTCTAAATCCAACTATGTTCGGATGCTCCAATTTTTTAAGAATATTTGCCTCGAATATAATTCTTGAATTATATCTCGTATCGTCCGTAATATTTCTATTACGTTTTTTTATTGCCCATGGAGATCGTGTAAATCCAACTTTAGGAGATCTTTCTAATTTAAATAAGGTCACTCCTAAAAAATATAAAATTTAAAATAATTATTTCAATTTTGAAAAATATCAAATGCTAATAAAATTTATGTAAATATGTACCACATCCATAACCTATTTCTTTAAGAAATGGTGAAGAAGGAATTTTTATAGGTGTATTTAATTCTTCATTATTTGTTCCTTTAATTTTTGATTTTTTAGAAGTAGGCGTTTTGAATTCGTCCATTATTTATTAATCCTACGTATGAATTAAAAGAATTAAATCTTCGCGAGTAAAACAAGCCTTAAAAACCGTTTGAACTTTAAAAATACAAACTGACGCCACCTATAAATGGTACCAACTGTATTTGATTGAAATTGAAGCCAGTATTAGTAAATTAAGAATTTTTAAATTTTCTATTACACATCGAATCGACATAATGAAATTATAATATAACAAAAATTATATTATTTACATTTATAATACTTGTAAAGAAAAAATATTTTTACTAATCTTAACTTACTCACATGAATTTCCCTTTTATATAAACAAATGCTATAAAGAATGATTCTTTAATAATTAAAATATTTGAATTTTATATAACAATGCGAAGAGAAAATAAGAACTTTTAATATAATTTCATTTTTGTTTTATACATCTCTATTTCGTTAATTTTTTGTTTAAAAAATTTATTAATCCTTTGCATTCGTTAATTTTTTCATTTATTCGTATTTGCTCCAGTTATTTCAGGATAAAGGATAAAAATCGGATGGGAATAAATAATGTTACAAAATGAAACAATTATATTTAACATAATAAATGTATTTCAATAAATACTTATCATACTAAGCCGTTATTCATTATGGAAATAATGATATCAATGTACATTGCCTTTCATATTCGGATCAGTCTTTTATCTACACACACACACACACACATATATAAATATTTATTTATAAGTATGAATAGACACACGCGAGAGGTATAATCAATCTATCTTACACATCATAATATCCGTAAGCTTCTTATTGAATAAATTAATCAATTTCTTCGACTGTCGGGCCCGTATAATTACCACTCGAAGCGCTTTGTCGGAACTGAGTGCCGCAATCCTGTGGAGGAGCAGTACCTCCCACGTGAATCTTGCTCATTATCGGGGCACAATGCTTCTGCAGCTCCTCCAGCTTCCGCTCATACTCGCCAATCTCGGCCAGGGAATTGCCGTCAAGCCAGCAAATAGTATTGTCGCACAAGTTAACGACGTCTTCTTTTTCGGATTGGTTGAGCTTGTTGCCGCAGTCCTGGACCGCCTGTTTTACCGAGAACACATAGCTTTCGATTTGATTACGCTCTGCGATTTTCTCCCGTTGTTCTTGATCCTGCTCGTGGTATCGCTCAGCATCGGACAACATTCGGTCGATCTCGTCCCGCGAAAGACGTTCTTTGTCATTGGTGATACGAATGTTGTTGCTGGAACGGCTGGCTAAGTCTTTGGCGGTTACGTGGAGGATGCCGTTGGCGTCCATATCGAAGGTGACGTCGATCTTGGGGATGCCATGGGGCGCGGGCACTATACCGCTAAGCTCAAAGCGTCCAAGTAGGTTGTTGTCCTCGGTCTTGGCACGGTCGCCCTCGTAAACTTGAATGGTGACGGCAGGTTGGTTATCGGCATAGGTCGTGAAGGTCTGGGATTGCTTGAACGGGATGCGAGTGTTGCGTTGAATAATGTTGGTCATTATCCCGCCGGCGGTCTCGATTCCAAGGGACAGAGGTACCACGTCCACCAGCAGCACGTCTCGTAAGGTCGAGCTCTTATCGCCCTCGCCACTAAGGATCGCCGCTTGCACTGCTGCGCCGTATGCGACAGCCTCGTCGGGGTTGATCGAAAGATTTAACTGCTTGCCGCAAAAGAAATTTTGCAGAATCGATTGGATCTTCGGTATACGAGTCGAGCCTCCTACGAGAACGACGTCGTGAATGGTCCGTTTGTCCAGCTTGGCGTCGGTTAATGCCTTCTCTACGGGCTCGAGCGTCGCCCGGAAGAGGTCGGCACAGAGTTCTTCAAAACGCGCTCTGGAGATTTTCGAGTAGAAGTCTATCCCATCGATGAGAGCGTCTATCTCTATGGATGCCTCAGTACTCAACGACAAAGTGCGTTTTGCCCTTTCCGCTGCAGTTCTCAGCCGTCTCAGGGCTCTCGGATTAGATCCGACATTTTCCCGGTATTTTCTCTCAAATTCTTTACAAAGTTGATCGACGAGCCTCGAGTCGAAGTCTTCGCCACCGAGATGGGTGTTGCCCGCCGTAGATTTTACTTCGAACAGGGAGCCCTCGTCGATAGTCAATATAGAAACATCGAATGTCCCACCGCCGAGGTCGAAGATAAGGACGTTCTTTTCCCCTTTCGAGATTCTTGTCAAGGCCATAAGCCAATGCAGCGGCCGTGGGCTCGTTAACGATCCTTAGTACGTTGAGACCAGCTATGACCCCGGCATCCTTCGTTGCCTGGCGTTGAGAATCGTTTGAAGTACGCGGGCACCGTGATGACCGCGTCGTTAACGCTTTATCCCAAGTACGCTTCGGCCGTCTCCTTCATTTTTGCCAAAAACATCGAGCTGATTTCCTCTGGATTGAAACGCTTCTTCTCCCCGCGAAACTCGACTTGAATCTTCGGCTTACCGGCGTCGCTAATGACTTATAACGTGACTAAGGACGTCGCTAAGGACAATGCTTTATATCGCTTTGAATCTTCTGGTCGTCAAATCTGCAACACCAAAAACAAACGTACGAAAATGTTAAATTAGGTTAAATTCCAACAATGACAATAAATATATACACAGTTATGGAAAAATTAAATTTGAAAATGCAAAAGAAAAATAATTAAAAATCAGAGGCGAGCGCGTACTTTCTGCCGATGAGTCTCTTTGCGTCGAACACTGTGTTCGTGGGGTTCATGGCGACTTGATTTTTGGCAGCATCGCCAAGGAGATGTTCCGTATCCGTAAAGGCAACGTAGCTGGGTGTCGTTCTGTTTCCCTGATCGTTGGCGACGATCTCCACTTTGCCCTGCTGCCAAACTCCCACGCAGGAGTAAGTCGTGCCCAAGTCAATACCAATTGCAGGCATGTTGATTATTTTGTTTACACAGCTTATCTCTTGTTTACCCGAGCAGTGCGCATTATCGATTGCTTTTGACGTATCTGAATCGATGGCCGCAGTGACAGTCATCTTATACTAATTTTCCCTCTGTCTAGTTGGTACTGGAAAATTTTCGAATAGCTCATCTTCTGCGACGTACTTCAGATTATTCTAGTCATTCTGCAACTCGGACGTCACGACAAATCATACATCTACGTGATTATTTATTGCTTGAGTATAAAATGTTTCTTCAGAATATCTTAATTTCCAAAATCTAGCGTGCAAATAATATTTAACAAATTGATATTACTTAAAAGAAATGAATCGATTGACCATAAATGAGCAGCAAATTCGAGAAGTTTCTAAAAACGGCACGAACCAAGCGTCCCTATCGTGCATAACTAGGAATGGAGTGGAATATGAAACTTTTGAGAGCGCGAAAGTTTGAGAAAGGAATAGAGAATTCTGGACGTCGTAATATATAAATGCACAATAATGTGACTGTCTAATTATAGTGACAAAAAAGAAAATGAAATTACCAATATACTTTTTTAATAATAGTCATATGATATGTAATTTTAAAAGATACATCGTACTCCTTATTCATATGTAGAGACGTCCTTATTATTATTAAAATTCTTGTGTAAATGTGTAATAGGTTCTGAAAATATTAAATTTGAATAATGAATTTGAATATATACCACTATCGTTGGATTGCATTAAATAAAATCTTTTTTTTAATAATAATATACAATATTAAACAAAAATTATTTATTCAAATTAGCTTTCAACATTGATGGGTAATATTAATTTTATATTCTTGACACAAGGTATAATATAAATTTATATTTACATTTATAATATAAATTTGAATATAAATATTAATTTTTTATTTTATAATAATTATTTTAGAAAATATATAAATATTTGAATATAAATATTTAAATATAATTGAATTTTTTAATCATTCGAAAAATCATGTTTGAATAATACTATTATACCATAATACTTATAATACTATATTAATTTGATAAAATTTAAGATTTATCTTTTGAAAGGGTGGATCTTTGAAATATTTCTGTTCTGTTAAATATTTTATAAATTATTTTACTTAGAAATATTACATGTAATCTTTCTAACGATAATTCAATAGAAAATGTTTAAGGCAGTTATAAAATTAATTTCTATGTTTAGTCTTATAGATATAATAAATCTTAAATTAATATTAAAGACCTTCATAGTAATGTCGATAAGAATATTATCAAATAGAAAATTCTTATTTAGTTATTAATATATACAATTAAACTGAAATATGCACAAATAAAATAAATAAATAGATTAATAATTATAATAGATTTATGATTTACAAAAGATTTATTTTATACAATAATTTTTAAGTATTTCTTCTATAATTTCTATATATT